CAGCAGCAGGAGTAGTAGGAGCAGCAGCAGCAGTAGTAGCACTAGAAGCAGTAGCACTAGCAGCATACATAGCAACAATCAGCCAAGACGTCAAGGAACGGTAACACTAATAAGACAAACCTAGTCTAAGGAAGGATCCTTTCGACAAACTTTGAGCTGAGCAGGTGGCCCGGATCGATCTGGCAACGCTGGTTGTGGAGTCGCCGCGGCCGCTGGGTGAAGGCCTCTGAGAAAAGAACGAATTTCTGAAAGGTTCACCATCGTCTCTCTGTGGCAGATGCTGCAGTCGTGGCACTGTAAGGCTGGGATCCCTTTCCAACCATCGTTAGGTGTGTCCATCGGGCCCTGTTGCGATCAACTAGAATGCCAACAGCAACACGAGCAATACCACTGAGAACAAAATGATGCGTTCAAGAAAATAGCAACAACAAGGCCAATCATCACCATCACCATCGCCACCATCGTCACCATCACCATGACTGGAACAACAACGATGATAGTAGTAGGAATGTTGCGCTACGAATGACCAGAATAATTGCAGAAGTGTGCTGATTCTTATGAAAGTCGTGACAACTCTCTGAGACAAAAGAACGGAAGCCCTGAGCCGTAGACTACACCCAATGCGAGTAGCAAAGCCAAGCCTACGAAATTTGCCGCACGCTGCCCTTTTTGCGTCTGGATCATCGAAACAACACATGGAGCATTACCTCCGGAGTGTCCGTCAACTGAATGGAAGGCAGCTGGTAGCTACCAGTTGTCGTCGTCGGAGTCTGAGACGTACTCCATCTCCTGAAAGTGGCACGAAGCATAGGATCCCTCCGGGTGAACCTTTGTGCAATGTGGTCTGCATCGATCATCGCACTCCGGCTCCGAGGTGAAGGTGGTCTTCTGCCCACCCTCACACCAGCACTCCCACCACCCGCTGGCGTACCGTTCACGCCCCCACTGAGGCTGACCAAGTTGTTCGTGCTGACCCTTCTGCGCCGCATTCCCCGCCTCCTCATCTTTGGTCACCTGCGCCTGTCGCAGAGCAGAACAGAGGCCCGGGAGCACCAGGAGGAAGCGGAAGAACGTGGCTGTGGAAGTGCAAGCTCTTGGCAAACGACGGGCAGACTTTACTACTTGAGCCTTGAGTTCGTCTCTGTATACCACAACAAGTCTGAAATGTGCAGGACGATCTCTCTACGGGCGCCAGCAACAGCTCAATGTCTGCCAGGAAGTCTGTCAGAAATCTCTCAAGCTTAGGATTGCCAGCCTCAGGAGAATACCCCCAAACCCTAAACCCTGAACCCCTAAGCCCTAAACCCTGAACCCCTAAGCCCTAAAATAATGCTGGGGCTGCTCCAAGCTCGAGGCATCTGATCAAACAACAAGTCAGCTGGCCCTCTGCACGCGATCTTTGGCGGCTGTTTTCGGACATCCATCGCGAACAATGCAGCAGCGCATGTAGGTTTCCAAAGTCTTAGCCATATAGCGGTGTAGTGCCGGGTGACTGGGGCATGCTGATATGCAGCTAAGCGCTATGTACTTCTTCTTCTTCTTCTTATCTATTGTTTATTTCTTCTTCCTGTTCTTACGATTATTATGATTGTTATGATTATTATGAATATGCTTATTGTTATGATTATTATTATTACTATT